TGGTCCCAGCTACAGTGTCCCAGTCAGATAACCAGGATGTCAACACAGGCTTACTTGTCTCCAAACACAAGGCGACGAAGAGATCTGTATCTGAGGGCTACCCAACAGTATGATGTGAGAGCCAGAAAGACGTGAGAATATTTAGTAAATTAGAAAATTCAAAGCGTTTCTAACATTTAAAATGGGTTCATTGGCGTCACATGAATATTTAATGTGACTTAACTAGGAACATTTTCAGGTAGCTGGAGAGAGTTAAGACATTGCATTTAAGTCAACAGAAACAATGACCAAATGAAGTGGCCCATCGTGATCAGAAAGATGGTTATACTTGGTTGAGTCCCTGCTGTCCTTGGCAGCTCCATGGGATCTCTATTTCTTGGGCAGAGAGAAGCAGCTTTGTTCAAAGAACGCAATCCCTGACAGAATTTACAGGCTCAAGCACAGTAACGCACACTCCTCTTCTCAAAAGCTTATTATGTTGTTTATAAGGCATAACGTCTGAATATTAAATCACAAGAACGACAGCAAATGACACCACTCAATTGCCATGCAGATATTCTTCCAAGGAAGAGAGCTAAAAATATACACAAATATACTCACGCTGCCCAGACGACATTGGGTGCTTTTGGAATTTCTTAAAAACCTAGTTTATATTTAACCCATATGCGTCTCATGTGATTTTCCTTTTTTTATGGAAATGCAGGCTCTTTTTTAGACATTTGGAAGAAACAGGGTATATGATGATAAAGGAAGGGAAGCAGTATTTAATAGTTCCATTCTGAATCATGCCTGAAAATTACTAAGATTGGCTTATGAATGAAACCCTTCTGAAATGAGCCCCATTAGAACAGAGAGAAGGTGAGCAGGACTAAAAGAAACAAAGTGGACAGTGAGTATATTTTTCATGCATTTTGAAATAATGCATTGACTTAGCATCAATGAATGCTGAATATTACTTCCAGATAACCAAATTATAAAATAGCTTTATCTTACAGAGTCAATTAGCTAATACCTGACCTTACAATACTTAGCTAAACGTGAAGCACAAGTTAGTGGATGGCATTTCAACAGGAAAAGAGAAGAAAGTTAGAAATAGACGACTGTCTATTGCTCGGGGCGGGGGGGGGGGGGGAAAAAAGGGAAGAAAATTGGGATAGGAAAATC